CAAAACAATCAAATAAACAGACCAACAGATTATTTTGCAACAAAAGCACAAACACTATACTGACAAAAGTACTGAGTCACTTGCACATTACACCTACAGGAAATTTATGACATCCTATTCTAGGCCCACAGGCATTAATATAGAGTTGGTCTCCTAAAACGGCGCCACAACAGAGAAGGGCCTTTTACAAACTGTTCCCACAAAGACTTCCCTTCCCTGGAACTAAGGGGCCCGGGCCAACCACAAACAGACAGTCTTATAGCTTTATCCAACCTCCAAAACTTAGTTAGTACAATGGAGGCAACATTCTCCTGGCAGTCACCAAAACTAGATTTGTCCATGAGATTTCCAGATAGAAAAGTGTGTGGAGTGATTTTTATTATAATTTTATTTTATTATATATTATTCTTGTTGAATGTTGAAGCTCTACTTAAGATCCAACCATGGAAAATACGATTTTCAAGTGGTCTTAAACTTTTGCTAGGGATTTGTATTTATTTATTTATTTTAATATACATATGTGTAAATGGTAAATGGCCTGTATTTATATAGCGCTTTACTAGTCCCCAAGGACCCCAAAGCACTTTACACATCCAGTCATCCACCCACTCACACACACATTCACACACTGGTAATGGCAAGCTACATTGTAGCCACAGCCACCCTGGGGCGTACTGACAGAGGCGAGGCTGCCGGACACTGGCGCCACCAGGCCCTCTGACCATCACCAGTAGAAACGGGTGAAGTGTCTTGCCCAAGGACACATCGACCGAGACTGTCCAAGCCGGGGCTCGAACCGGCAACCTTCCGATTACAAGACAAACTCCCAACTCTTGAGCCAAGAGTTGGGAGTTGCACAATAGCTGTGTTTTGATATCCATCTCTCTATTGTAGTTCTATTTCATCCAGTGCTATTCTCATTGAGATAGGATTTACGATCATCTCACAAATGCCATCAAAGCACAGCTTTCTCCCCGTCTGTCTCCCATACGGAACCATTTTAAAACAGCTCATAGGGTAAAAAGTGGTGTCTTTACACTGCAACCACATCACTATTATTAACTCTACAAACATGCAAATTGAGTATTCTGTAGACTGCAAGTTGCTTCTGCTCACAGTGAATTTTCCCAACACGACTTATAGTTTTCTCTTGGAAAGCATTTATTTCAGAACTTAAAGGCTGTTTTCTTTCCTTTGCTTCAACAACATATATCCTGATGTTTTCTGAAAATTCACCAGGTAGAAGAATAGGCATACTCAAAATTTACTCAGAAATTTTCTGCCAATTTGTAGCTAAGTTACTGTGGTTGTACTTTGTAATGCCACTTACATTTGAATGTGGAATATCCTGGATGGAAGAAATTTCACAAACTAAACTGAATAATTAAGAGATGTGACCCAGTACTTTTGTCCACATAGTGCATTACAGACTGGAATATAATAAACGACCTCATAGGGCAAAATGTTTGTGGCCAGATGAAAGGTAACAAAGTTAATCCTACTAAAGAGTACCAGTAGCAACAATGCAGTCAAATCCAAAGAAAGCATAGAAACAGGTTGCTGCCCCGGCCAAAGTTCCATCAAAACCAAAGGGGAAAAAGCCGCCAACACCAAAGTCAACAGTTTCATTCGGCTCAAGTTTCCTGCACAAAAGCAACAGTAGTTTCATGACATGATATCACAACGGAAATATCCACATTAATGATTTACATACTATCAGACAAATTGGTTTTCTGCTTGTATAAAAGTTATACATATGACTGAGAATTTGAGAAATCTTAAATATACCATGAAACTATAAAGAGCACAAAGAGGGGAGAAAAAGTTGTGAATAAAATAAATCGGATTGTCTATTTAGATCAAGTCTCCTCACCATTTGGGATAAGCATTCTAACGTGGTGGCAGGCAGCTATGAATATACAGTACTGTGTAAAAGTCTCCATTACCCCTCATATCTTTATACTTTGCTCCCAAAGTAAGACTGGCCATCTTGTTTTTGTTTAAAGAAATAGTTCTCCTGTCTTCTTGAAGGTCTTTCAAAGTTTTTCTTTGGACACTGGTTGCTTTTTCAATAATTCCTGTCTACTCCTCGTACCTGATTATCTTCAGAGTTTTGTTGATCACTTAACACAAACCTATAAATCATCCAAGTGTGCAAAGGGCATGCAAGGAATGAACCAGAGCCAATGTTAAACTCCAGTATGCAAAAAATAAATACACAATAGAGGAAACTGGAGAACTTGAGGAACAAGGAAGAATTGGCAAGCCTAAACTATCAAACAAATTTAATATTGAACAAATATTTTATTTCAAGGGAAAAATGCCATCTAACTAAGCCTATGAGAAAAGTGTGTAGTAACTAGTCTTGCAAGAGCTCCAAGAGTTTTGAAAAAATATTAAGTTATAAAATGTGTGTGCTCTTTTAAAACTTGGGCATGACATTAAATCAGGCAGTTCATGCTTGGAAACCCTGTATGAAGGCTGAATTAAGTTCTGCAAAGGAAAGTCGGCTGAAATTCTTCCACAGATCAAGACAGATCACCGCTTATTGTAAAAACTTGATTGTAGTACATATTGTCCCTGTTATCTTTCTCTAATATCAAAAGTTGTTTGATGATCTGAAACATGCTGGTATGACAAACATGAAACCACGAAGGGGGTAAATACTTTTTCACAGTACTGTGTCCAGCATAGTAAAAATTTCCAAATATAAACTGAAACCTAAAACTGACTTTTGCAGTACACGAAAAAAATAAATCTATCAGAATGTGAATGAAAATGACAATTAGCATAAATAAAACTTACATAACTTCCCAAGTTGCATTTAGAACTGTCTTTTTACTGATGTGCCAGTTTTCAAGATCTCCTTTTATAAAGCCAGAAGTGATGATAAAAATCAACACAGACACATTTACTGCTGTAAAAACAGTATTCACGATTGCAGACTCCTTCAGACCAAATGCAAGCACCCCTGAAAACAGAGGGAAAGATATAAACAGATGTACTTTACCTTTAAGAATGTTTTTCCATCTATGATACAAATAATACTTCATGTCAAAATTGCAAATGTCACCAGCAAGCAACATAATCAGCGCAGCAGCAAAGAAGTCTGGGTATTCAGCCAAGCCAGGTGAGTCCATGGGTGTATGTTCCCCTAGATGCTTAGCCATAACATTGTGTATCAGGTCATCAAATGCTCCAGTCCAGGCTTTGGCTATACTAGATGTTTCTAAGGAGAAGTTTAAAAAACAAGGCATGGAAGATAACTCCATTAATTGTTATTGTAGGGTCTTTACCAATATAAAATGCCTTAATGTGACACTATACAAATAAAACTGAATAAAATCAGCTTTTACAAAACATTTAAGACTAAGGCTCTTCGTGTGTAAAGAAGTAAATATCAAATATTTTCTATTAAATATGATCAAATTCCCTACAAATAGAATCAAATAAAAAAAATAATCCATTCAGGCAGTGTCAGCTTTAACATTTGTGTCTGTTTTTTCACACTTTCTACCATAAACTGCTGCAAAAACTGGATTTGATGCACAACTACATCACTTGGCATACTGCATTTATGTATTTTGTCAAATACATGGTAAAGATGTATAGTGCCCCCTGAATTCCACTTACCAATGACATAGGACAGCAGCAGATTCCAGCCAGTCACAAATGCCCACACCTCTCCTATAGTCACATAGCTGTAAAGGTAGGCCGAGCCCATCTTTGGCACACGAGCACCAAGCTCAGCGTAGCACAACCCTGCAAAGACTGAAGCCACTGCAGCAACCAGGAAAGAGATGATGATGCTAGGACCAGTCACTTCCCTCGCCACCTCCCCTGAGAGCACGTAAACCCCTGCTCCAAGCGTGCCGCCAACACCCAGGCCAATCAGATCCAGGCTGGTCAAGCGTCGGCAGAAGTTGGACTGCTCACCTGCTGGCTCCAAAGGCTTCTTACGGGCCAGGGAACGGATGAACGCTAACACAGAACATATTCTGAAATCAGTAGTACTGGGATTTAACAAAACAACCAACACCAGTGAAGGATTCAATTATTTTGTGGCCTCTCTGTGCCTGACTTTTTCTGGCTTGAAGTTATAATGAAAAGGCCAAAACAAACATTACCTGCTACTCATTTCACAGGTGCTCAGATCTGCTTCTGCTGTGTGGACTAGAAGAGGAGAGAAGAAGAAAAATCCCTTCTCTTTCCAGCTAACAGCCCCGGCAGCCTGCTGCAGCGGCACACCTGACATCAATTCAGCTAACCGGCATGATGATGTTCAGGCCTCCTGTCTCACTGCTTCTATCAATGAATTGTCAACAGCATGAGGTATATATGCTGCATGTGATGGAAATACTTTAATATGCCTTGCACAGATAGAAATAAGAATTTAATACTGTTTCTATTTCACAGTAGAGTGTAGATAATGCTGTTTCCAGAAACTGGGAATTGTTTGTAGTGAACAGACACATTCCAGAAAGCCCCAAATGTGGCAGCTAACCAAATACCTCTTGGCCTTCTCTTCAATATGTCTCACAGGGTTATATGACATGTTGGATGGTTTTTAATTTCCAGCATTGAACTATTCAATCAGAATTTATCTCTGATTTTCAAGCTGCTGGCAAAATCACAGCGTCCAAGCCTGAGCGGAATTGGAGCCATGTTTTCCTGAGCCCATATAAACAGGTTAGCTACATAAATCCCCCAAAGTTTTTTGCTTCTGGTAATTCATCAGCTCTTGGAAATCATGTTGACATTTCCACTTCTCCAGCTGTGGCCCAGCAGCTTATGGCAGCTTTTTCCAGGATCCAGAAACTTTAGACTAAAAACTAAGACTGGGTAACTGTACAAGTGCTGAATTGTGCTGGATCCATTTCAAGATGCAAATACTTTCATTGTTGTCATTGTTTTTTTTCCCCTTTAAATCAGATGATTCATGAATGGTATCATCAGCAGCCTTAAATCCACCTTCAGTATAAAAGCTATGGCCTAAATCTATAACTAGCTACAGTGTCACAATGTCACTGTGATATTAATCTAGTAAAACATTTGTTTTCAGACTTACAGCACTGCTACCACGAGGCCATTAATCTAAGGTCCATTAAGGGTCAGCATCAGCTTTCTATCATTAATCATATGTTAAGTTCTTCTCACTAATTAATAAGTGGATGCTGTGACATGGTTCAAGCAGAATACATCTTTGTTGTCAGTCAGCCGTTTAGCTTAGCTGGTGTCCACATTTAGTAAAACTCTAAAGAAGGAGTCTGATATGAGTCTGAGGCTGTATCCCAATT